TTCTATGGGCGTGGCCCTCCAAGCGAGGTGAAAGGTGCCTTTAAGGCCTGTGTGTTTCTTGGGCTGGGGTCTCCCCTGCAGTGCTCACGGTGACTCTCACCTCAGTGCTCCCGGGGCCATGCCCTGCTGGGGATGCAGTTCATGTTGTCTGCATGTGCTCAGCCTATTCCTACCCTCTTTTCTTCCCGGTTAATTTTTCTTCTTTTTTCCCGGCTGGAGCGATAGCACAGCAGTAGGGCGTTTGCCTTGCACGCAGCCAACATGGCCGACCCGAGTTCGATTCCTCCGCCCCTCTCGGAGAGCCCGGCAAGCTACTGAGAGTATCTCGCCTGCATGGCAGAGCCTGGCAAGCTCCCCGTGACGTATTCGATTTGCCAAACACAGTGACAACAAAGTCTCCAATGGAGATGTTACTGGGCCCACTCGAGCAAATCGACGAACAACAGGAGGGCCTTTACCTTTTCCCTGCTTTAAGCAGCATGGTTGGCAAGGTTGTTGGTGATGATTTGTTTCTGGCACTCCATAGGTCAACCCAAGTCCCACCACCGCTGTCCCCTTCCCTCCACTGATTTTCCCAGGCACCGCGCCAGCCTGCCCCGTAGCAGGCCCACGGTCGGTCACTTTACATTGTTTGCTACTAGAAATAGATTCCTTAATTCTTGTTGTTGTTGTTGTTTGTTTGTTTTTGGGTCACACCCAGTGATGCTCAGGGGTTACTCCTGGCTCACGCACTCAGGAATTGCTCCTGGTGGTTCTTGGGGGACCATATGGGATGCTGGGAATCGAACCTGGGTCGGCTGCGTGCAAGGCAAACGCCCTACCTGCTGTGCTATCAGTCCACCCCCAGATTCCTTAATTCTTAAAGGAAAATTCATGAAAGTCACTGTGTCTCTCCGTGGGAACGTTAATTCTCGTGTGAGGGTGCCTGTGCAGCGGTGCCCACTGAGCCTGTGTGTCGCTCCTTGCTTCCCCAAAACAGCCCCATCCAAGCTGCCGTGCTCCTGCCGGCGTGCCGGTGTCGGGAGTGTGCGGGTGTCGCTCCGGGTGGGGTAGTCGCTCCGGGTGAGCCAGAGTATTTAAGTGGGTAGTCCAGCCTGTTGGGGTGTGAGTGCGGCTGCCGGGGCTTTGGAGGTTGTGGGGGGCTTGGCCCACCCCCTCCCTGAGATCGCCCAGGAGGTCTCAAGCAGAAGCAGGTGTGGGAGAAAGTGTTGCAGGCCAGTGGGTGAGCGTAGCTGGCAGCCACAGCGGGACGTGCTGTTCTTTCTTCTCCTTGTTGGGACACACTTGGTGAGGCTGGGGTAGGGGGCTCTGTGTTCAGGGGTCACCCCCGATAGTGCTCGGGGGTGTCAGGGCTACCACCTGCAGGCTTTGCTTGTGCTCAGCCCCTGCCATTTCCCCCCGGCCCCCCACCAAGCCACTTAGGGTCCTCCCCTCCCCCAGACCGCCTCATGCAACATCTTCACCAGGATAAGCTTCCTGCAGCTGTATTCTTTTTTTTTTCCTGAGTTCCATTTTTTATTTTTTTCTAATCAGTAGTTCACCACTTTGCATTTACTTTCAGCATATGTCCACAAATCAATTATCTCTTACTGATCCCTGTCACCTTCATGTTCAGTTCAGTGCATTCATCTTTCAGTTTGGCTTCATTTGATAGTTTCCTGACTGGCCTCTTTAATGTAACTATTGCCCTAAACATCATCTAGGAACAATATAACAGGCATAGTTACTTTAATAAAATGCTTCCCTCCTGCCAGATTATTTTTCCCTATGAAATTCACCAGCCACTTCCTCCATCACTCAGATGATTAATCCTGGAGTTCAGTCTTCTTGCAGTATCTTCCCCGTGTCCTCTCTGACTCTGTTGCTCATCTTTCCCCCTTAACTTATTTTGCCTCTAGCAGCTGTATTCTGAAAGGGAGATCCCGGTTCAGAGATGGCCCTACATGCACCATCTTCATCCAGGATAAGGCCCCAAGCAAGTGTGGTGCGAGAGGAAGTGTCCAGTGTGAAAGATGGGTCCTGGCAGTTGTGGTTGAGAAGAGGCTCCAGTTGCCAGGGCGGCGCCTTATGCAGCATCTCACATGGGACAGATTCCCAGCAGCTGAGCTAACTCGTTTAGCTCAGTTAACTTTTTTTTTTTTAGCTCAGTTAACTTTGAAAGAGAAAGTTCCAGTTTTCAAGATGGCACTTTATGCAGCATCTTAGCACAAGCGAGCTTTGTTGACATGTGGTCTGAGAGGAAGTGCCCTGGAAGGCCTTGATAAGCAAATTCTTGGGAGTCTCCCTGGACAGTGAGCATCACATCTGCTAAGGTTCCTTCTGTCGGCCTTATCCAGAGGCCTGCTGCACGAGTTTCCCTCCACCAGAACTTCTGCTCCTGATTCAAGTGTCTGCATTTTCTGCTGGGCACCCCTGGACTCTCCCTTCAGCTCCTTGAGGTACCTTTTCACTTACATGTTCTATGGAACGAAGCAGAGACCCAGCTGCTTGGCCCTCCTTCCTGGTCCTGCCATGGACCTCTCCCATCGTCAGCTGTCTGCAGAAGACTCAGCCCCTGGTCCCACTCAGCCCATCCATCTCCCTCTTGGGGCTGAACAAGGTGGGCCACATCTGCAGCTGGACATTATCCGCCAGATAATGACGTAGACAAACTTTCAGGGCCGCCCAGAGGGGGTGAATGAGCCAAGCATCCCTCCAAACAGAGCCCCGGCAGCCAAAAACCTCCACATTTCACAATTGCTGCTACGTTCCTGGCTGGACCCCACTGCTGGGGATGAGCCCCACCCAGTAGTTAATCTGCTGAAACACTGAGGTATGCAGGTTTTATGACTGAAATCTCCAGGCTTTCGCTGAGTCAGGATGGGCTATCTCCCCCCATCCCCCTGTACTTTCTGAAGTCCTGGCAGTCAGCACACACCCCGAAGACACCAGCCACCCAGTTCAAAAACTTAACTCCAGCTATATCACCACGTGAAAAATTTTGGACTTCCTGGAGCAACATCTCAAAATCTACCACACTGATAACCCAGGAATAGCACACCAGATTTGGTGGTATGTCATGTAGAAGGCAAGCAGTCTCGACTAACAAAACATAAATACAGAGTTTTTACCCTGGAGCAGCATCTTGGTAATCTCTCCGACAAGGACGTATTGGCTCCATGATGAGATACAACAATCTTCACTGACTTTTTTCTAAGGGAACAATCATGATCACGACCATCCTGTTGTTCGTTGATTGCCTTGAGCAGGCGCCAGTAATGTCTCCTTCGTCCTAGCCCTGAGATTTTCAAAAGTGCCGTATGCAAGGCTCTTTCAGGGTTAGGAGAACGAGACCCATCATTGTTACTGGTATTTGGCATATTGGGTACGCCACGAGGAGTTTGCCAGACTCTGCCATGTGGGGCAGGTTACATTCGGTAGCCTGCCAGTTTGTCCAAAGTAGGAATGAGATAATAAGATGTCGCACGGCCGCAAATGCGGCCGCACGCTTCCGGGAGCTGGGTTTTATAGTCTCTGGGTCTTGGCCGTTGATAGGATTACACGGCGCCAGGGGGCCAGTTGATGGGTGTGACCCCCGCCTACTGGAATTCGGAGGATCTGACTGGAGGATGCTCAGCCCCGATCGGAGCAGGCTTGGAGATCTCAGCCCCGGGACCCACATGCCTGTGTTCCTCTGCCGGTACCTTCATGCGTGTGGAGAGTGGTCCCAGCATGGTTGTGGCTGGTTCTGGAGGTCTTCGTCTGCCGGAGCCCTGGTCGGGGCGGGGAGGGAAACTCAACCCGCTCCCTTCCAAGGGGCCCCGGCGAGGACAGCCAGGCGCGGGGGCAGGGGACTCTGAGGGGACATCGCAGAGTCTCTAAGGGAACATCCTTTTGATTATTCTGTTAGCACATTATTGATAACAACCAATATAAAATAAATTACTGAGGGTCCGCTATGGCTTATGGGGTAGTTGGGAAAATTGGAGATTATGGTGGAGGGAAGGTGTAATGGTGGTGGGACGGGTGCTGGGGTGTTGAATCATCATGAGCAAGTCTGTAAACCACGGTGCTTATGTAAAGTTTAAGGGGGAAGGGACATAAAAGAAAAGAAACCCTGAGTCAAACCTCCAGCTGGGCTCTCTACAGGTGGCCAGCTGCTTCTGTTCTTCTCTGAGCAGAGTTGTGTTTTCTTAGACCCAAAGGCTGCAGCTTTCTGTGTCTCGGGGGGTGAGACATGGTGTCTCAGAATCCGAGCAAGGGGCCCGGTGCCCTGCAGCCGTGTGCTGTGAGCTGCCCGCAGTGGCTGAAGGGGAGAGAAGGTGTCCCCATTGGTTGGCGGCGGCGGCCGCGCACACGCCCAGGGCTGGCTGCGTGTTGTAAGAGGGAAGGAGTCAGGTACGCGCTGAGCATCGGTTGTAGTGGGAACGAATGAGGGAATGAATGAAGTACGTTCCCGGTGTGCGTGAGCCCGTGAGCGAATGACGTTTTCCAGAACTGTGTCCCAAGTGGTTGCTTCTGCGAATGAGTGCGTGCCCCTCGAGTCTGTATGTTTTGGGGTCCCGCCTGCCGTGCTCACAGCGTACTCCTGGCTCTGTTCAGGGATCACTCCCAGCAGTGCTCATGAGCACTCTATATCGTGCCGGGGATCAAACCTGGGTCAGCCACCTGCAAGGCATTCTGCAGGCCCCCCTCACTGCTGGGGTGGTTTGAGGGGGTGGGGTGAGTCGAACCCCACCTGCTGATGCTCAGGGCTTACTGCTGCCTCTGCACTCAGAAACTACTGCAGGCAGTTCTCAGGGGACCGTGTGGGGTGCCGCGGATGGAACCTGGGTTGGCCACGTGCCAGGCGAGCACCTTCGTGGCTGTGCTCTCGCTCCAGCTCCTCCTCCCTGCCTGGGTTTGGTGACAGGGTTGCTCAGTGCACACTTGGGCTCCGCCGCCTGCGTTTCCTCCCTCTCCTGGGGCCCCCATCCCTGCACGGCGCCTGCTCACCACCACCCCCTTTCTGTCTCCTGCAGGGTTTTCCCACTCGGCCTTCACGTTTGGTATTGAGAGCCACATCAGCCAGAGCAACATCAACGGAACGCTCGTGCCACCAGCTGCCCTCGTGTCCATCCTACAGAAGGGGCTGCAATATGTGGAGGCCGAGATCAGCATCAATGAGGTACGTGCAGGTCGGGGACACGAGCGCACCTCGGCTCCCACGGATGCTCGCGCTGAAACTCTTGGGCCCATGGCGCATTGCCGGCCTCTGTGGCACGTGGCCCGGCCCCTGGGACAGAGGAATACGTCCCGAGCTCTGACTTAGCTTCTCTTTTATTTGGGACTTTGGAGTGGGGTGCTCTGCCTCACAGTGCTCGGGGGCTCCTTCTGTGCTCTGTGCAGTTGCTGGGGTGCCAGGGCTCAGGCTGTGTTGCCACTCCCGGCAGGCAAAGGCTTTGTCTCTCCTGCCAGCGCTTGGGTTGCTTGGGGTCACACCCGGCAATGCTCAAGTGACTCCCTGCTGGGTGCTCAGGAGTGACTCCTGGAGGTGCTCAGGAGAGTGTTTGGGATGCGAGGATTGAAACTGGATCCAGCACCCTCTCCCTGTGGGCCTGAAGTTTGGGTTTATCAGTCTGCTCCACGGGTTTGAGTGGCGCCCTTGCTTGCGACCTGCTGGCCTCTGAGCGCAAAGGTTACCACCTGTGTGGGGTTCTTGGGGGGCACACTCAGTGAGACTTGGGTGACGTGTGCATCTGTGCTTGGCAATGACTCCTGGCGGCTCAGGGGACCCTGTGGGATGCTGGGGATCGAACCCGGGTCAGCCCCGTGCAAGGAAAGCGTCCTCCCGCCGTGCTGTTGCTTGGGTGCCCCCTCTTGTGTTCCAAAGTGTGGCTGAAAATCATTCTCATGGCGGGAGGAGGCAGGAAGACCCGGACACATAGAACAGTGACCCCGGTTGGCATGCAAGAGACCCACACCCACTCCGGGTACTGCATGGTCCCCCAACCCCAAAGCCGACAGAGGCGGCAGTGAGCCCAGCAGCGTCTCCGCTCAGGAAGGCGCTCTCTGTGGCCAAGCCGTGTCTGCAAGGGACAAGGCAGACGCGTGTCCAAGCCCGCCCTTGGCTGTATCCGCCCCTGCACACGGCCTGGCCGCGACGTGTCCACAGTGGCTGTGTGTGTGTGAGAGAGAGTATGTATGTGTCTGTGAGTGCGAGTGTGTGTGTATGTATCTGTGTCAGTGTGTGAGAGTGATTGTGTGTTTGAGTGTGTGTGTATGTGTGTGAAGAGTGGGTGTGATTGGGTGTGTCAGTATGTTGGTGGATGTGAGTGTGAAGAGTGTGTTAGAGAGCGTGTATGTGTATGTACACAGGGTGCTATTGCGGGCACCTACCATCTGTGGGCATGCAGTAGATACTAAGCAGAAGCTCCCAGCAAGGCCAAGTGTCTCCCAAGGGGGCAGCATCGCCGTCCAGGAGAGTCCGGCAGGGCGGCTGCCAGGACTGAGGGCCACGTGGGGGTTGCTCTCCACAGGACGGCACGGTGTTCGACGGCCGCCCCATTGAGTCACTGTCCCTCATCGACGCGGTGATGCCCGATGTGGTGCAGACCCGGCAGCAGGCCTTCCGGGAGAAGCTGGCCCAGCAGCAGGCCGCAGCAGCCACCACGGCGGTCACAGCCACGGCGGTCGTGGCCACGGGAACCACAGCCTCACCAGCGGCTGTTTCCCAGCAGAATGCACCAAAGAATGGAGAGACCACGGTTAATGGGGAGGAGAATGGAGCGCATGTCAGTAAGTGCGGGCGGGCGGGTGGGCCGGCGCCTGCAGGTGCCTCGGCCACACTTGTGGCGGTCCCTTGGCGGAACCAGGCCACAGTGTGGGGCCTGCCACTCTGGTTTCAATCCCGGCCAACAGCGCGCTCCTTGGCACCACGGACTGGAAAGACACTGCATTTCCAGTCCTCTCCTGGCTTTGCCAGTGAGCTGGAAGAGGGTGTGTGGGCAGCGGCGCTTGGCATGCCTGTGTGGAGTGTTGTGGCACCCTGTCCTCTCGGTGCACGAGCTGGGGTACCCTAGGCCGGCCCGCCTGGCACACGAAGCCTTGGGCAGGAAGAAAGGCCCCCTAGGCTTCAGGCTAGGGAGCTCATGCCCTCGTGTGCCAGGGCCCCAGTAGAATGCCAGGTGCCACGTGGGCATCAGCTTGACACTGAACCTGCCACTCCTCTGGGTCTCAGTGGAGGGGTCCCCCAGGCACCCCGGAACAGTTTGGGATACTCCCCAAACCAGCATTTTAGGGGGGGGTGGTTCTGTTTTTGTTTGGGGGCTACACTGGCAATTTTCAGGGGTGACTCCTGGCTCTCCACCCAGGGATCACTCCTGGCAGTGCTTTGGGGAGTCTGCAGGCTGGTGGGGATTGAACCCAGGTTGGGTGCGTGCAAGGCAGGCGCCCCTCCACGCTGCCTGATCACTCCAGCCCGGGGTGATGAGTCTGGCACAGGGGATTCCGAGACTAAGCGCTGCAGGCGGGCAGCTGCCTCTGGCGTCCCCTCACTGTCCTCGGCATGGCCAGTGGTTGGGTCCATCACTGTGGCATTGCTTAGTGCCAGCCCGCTGACACCTCTGTGTGCCCGCAGACAACCATTCCAAACCCATGGAGATCGACGGAGACGTGGAGATTCCTGCCAGCAAGGCCACAGTGCTCCGGGGCCACGAGTCCGAGGTCTTCATCTGTGCCTGGAACCCTGTCAGCGACCTCCTGGCCTCGGGGTGAGGCTTGCGGTGGGAGCCAGGCCCCAGGGTCCCCCCACCACTGCCCCTGCCGTCATGCCCCAGAGGCACCGGCCTTGGGGTGTGCCGGGGCCTCAGACAGACAGCAATGGCCCAGTCCCGTGACACACGCCTCCCACAGGTCTGGAGATTCCACGGCGCGGATCTGGAACCTGAATGAGAACAGCAACGGGGGCTCCACGCAGCTGGTGCTGCGCCACTGCATCCGCGAGGGGGGCCACGACGTGCCGAGTAACAAGGACGTCACCTCGCTGGACTGGAATGTGAGCGTCCCGACGCCGGGTCCTGGGGACCCTTGCTCCGGACGCGGGCACATGCACGGGCGCGTGCTGGGGGAGCTCATGCACAAATGCTCAGGGGCACATGCATGCTAGGACCGTGTCCAAATGCTCAGGGTACACGCGCGTACTGAGGGGCACGTCCACAAATGCCCAGGGAGCGCACTCATGCTAGGGGGCTTGTGCACAAATGCTGGGGGTTCGCGCCCTTGCTGTGGGGGACACGCATGTTCATTCTGGGCCACGCACACATCTGCTCAGGGGCACATGCGCACGTGGTCCTGTGCAGGGCGGCTCACCCCTGGGGCCACAGGTGTAGGCGTGCAGGCATCCTGTGGGGTGTCACAGGGGCTCATCCCTCTTGCCCAAAATGCTGCCGGGGTGAGCTACGCTGCCGTGACTGGGTGCTGCCGCGGGCTCCCGGCGCTTCCTTCCGGGGAGAATGTGGACGCTGAGCCCTGATGCACGGGTGACGGGTCCCCATCCCTGACTGAGCGGCTCTTGTCGGCTGCTTCTCTCTCCCCTGGCCACAGAGCGATGGGACACTGCTGGCCACAGGGTCCTACGACGGCTTTGCCAGAATCTGGACGGGAGACGGTAAGGGCGCCCTGACATCGGGGTTGCAGGGTGGGGGTGGGGGTGGGGGTGGAGGCTGCGTGCACGTGACTGCGTTGGGCTGGACACGAGTCTGCGTTTCTGCTCCCACCGCAGGTAACCTTGCCAGCACCTTAGGCCAACACAAAGGCCCCATCTTTGCCTTGAAGTGGAACAAGAAGGGGAACTATATTCTGAGCGCGGGTGTAGACAAAGTGAGTAATACCTCCCAAGGCGCTTCTGCTACCCTTTCTGCCAGCCCAGTTGGATCCCAGGAAATCCTGGGGGCATGTCCATCTGTTGTTTTTGTGTTGGGGGATCACACCTGGCGATGCTCCGGCTTCTTCCAGGCTCTGGGCCCAGGAATCATTCCTGGCGGTGCTCCAGGGAGCCCTGTGGGGTGTCAGGGACCAAACCTGCACTCAGTCCCGTGCGTGCGTGGCGAGCTCCTCCGGCTGTGCTGGCCTGCAGCCCCTCCCCCAACTCTGCCTTCCTGGGCTTCCCGTGCCGGAAAATACGAAGGATTGTTTGATAGTGCTTCACTCTGAGCTTTCGTGGTTTGGTGGTGGTTTGGCCACGCCCGTGTCTGCTCACACTGCAGGCAGTGCTCAGGGTTGCCAGAGACTGAGCCGAGGTCAGCTGCACGCAGGCAAGCGCCCTGCCTGCTGTGCCACTGCCCTGTCATGCTCGCCTTGTCTGGGCCAAGCTCCTCTCTGAGCGCTGTTTTCCTGGGGGGCTTCTAGAACAGGACTGCGTGTGCCCCCATGAGCGTGAGCATGGCCTAGCGGGGGGTTCTCGGGCAGCTCGGGCCTGTTGTCTTGCAGGCTGGCGCCTGTTTGGTGCATGAGGCTCGCTCACTTGCTCGTGCATGCTCTCTCTCTCTCTCTCTCTCTCTCTCTCTCTCTCTCTCTCTCTCTCCTCTTTTATGCTCACATCTTATTTTCTTTTGTTAATTTTCTCTTTTTAATTAAATCACCATGAGAGAGTTACAAAGCTTTCATGTTTGAGTTTCAGTCACACAATGATGGAACCCCCCTCCCTCCACCAGTGCCCATTCCCCACCACCAATGTCCCCAGTATCCCCCCATCCCAACCCTCCCCTGCCTCCAGGGCAGACAATCTCCCCCATCCTCTCTCCTTTTGGGCATCATGGTTTGTAGTATAGATACTGAGAGGCCATCACGTTTGGTCCTTGATCTACTTTCAGCACACATCTCCCATCCTGAGCGATCCCTCCAACCATCATTGACTTAGTGATGCCTTCTCTATCCCAGCTGCCTTCTCCCCCAGATCATGAGGCAGGCTGCCAACTATAGGGCAGTCTTTCTGGCCCTGGTCTCTACTGTCCTTGGCTATCAGTCTCATAGTATGTTATTTTATATTCCACAAATAAGTGCAGTCTATGTCTGTCCCTCTCTTTCTGACTCATTTCACTTAGCATGATGGTGTCTCACCGTGGATGTGGCGTGGGTCCAGGTGCCCTACACAGAGGTGTTGTGTCCCCGAGTTGTTGGGCCGGTGTGCAGAAGGCTTTGCAGTCTGGCGGAAGGGATAGGTTTTGGTGGCGGCTCCCCGACATGCTGTCATGTGTGCTGGCTGGAGGAGGGATGGAGGGTCGGAGCGGTGTTGGGGCGCTTTGCAGGCTGTGCCCATCTCTGAATCTCATCATTGTAGCAGGGAACAGTTTTGCTTTCACTTGTCTCAGTGGCCAGTTGGACTGGCGACACGCCCGGGCCTGCCCCACCCCACATAATCTTGAGGGCAAGGGATGCCGGCGTGTGCAGCTGTGAGTGATTTAGAGAGGAAGAAAGAAAGAGTTGGTGTCTGGAGCATAGTACAGCGTGGATGGTGCCTGCCTTGTACGTGGCCGACCCGGGTTCCATTCCCTGTCCTCAGCACTGCCGGATGTGGCCTAACCACAAAAGGGAAAAAATGGCAAAAGAAGTTGGGTCTGGGAATTTTGTTTCTCACCAAATTCTGTTTGCGTCCTGTACAACAAGTCAATTGTTAGAATAGTTCGCAATTGTTAGAATAGTTCGGAAGCGTTGGAAAGCCTGGTTTGAGGCTTTCACCTGGGTTCCGTAAGTTGCTGGGAAATTGTGGATCTTCCTAGGAGCCTCGTGGTGCTCTCGTAGAAGTCTTTTGGGCAACTGGCCCGTGGGCGAGCTGTGGCCTATTGCCTGTTTCTGTCAGGACAGTTTCCTTGGCACACAGCCCCGTGCGGGTCTGTATTGGCTCGTTGGGGGCGGGGGGGGGGGGGTAGGCAGGCCGCAAGAGACATGGGGGGATCTGCTGTTGTCCAGGCACATGCGTGTCGCTCCCTGGCCATTGGGAGGATCCACACCATGGGCGGAGCACGCCCTGCAGCGCAGCCGCAGTGTCTGACCCCAGGAGCACCGGTGTAGCACATCGGCCTTCAGTGAGCCACAGAGAAGTCTTGGGTTCCAGGGCCCTTGGGTGGTTCCCCGGTGGATGCAGACTGACCCCTCTCAGTGCTGTTTGTGGTTCTGCCATGGGCTGTTCAGCCACGTCATGGCAGACCCAGGTGTCCCCCCGCCACGCCGTGATATTGGGGACTGAAGTTTAGGAGCACCGGTACCATCCAGGCCGTCGCTTGGGGCAGGCACGGAGGCTTCCCTGTGGGGGAGAGGTCAGTGCCCCACAGCCTGCAGCACCTGAGAAGCAACGGGGGTGGCCCCCAAAAGGAAGGGCCCGACAGGATGTGTGTAGCCACTCTGGGTTCGGCCTCTGACCGCACCAGGTGCACGGAGCAGGAGCACAGCACGGAGCATTTCCTTTGCACGTGGCCGGCCTGGGTCCGGTCCTCAGAGCAAGCCGGAGCGCAGGGCCAGGCGTCCTCTGCGCACTGCCAGGTGTGGCCCCCAAAACCAAAAGCAACACAGGACACAGGCACAGTGGCGTCGGGGTGTGTGGGCTGAGGGGTGGGTTCCCGTGTGGGCGATAGCCGTGGGGTGGGTGCGGCGTGGCTGGGCACGGGGGATCGTTTTTGCTGACGCGTGGCTTTCGTCTGCGGAGTACAGACAACCATCATCTGGGACGCGCACACCGGCGAGTCGAAGCAGCAGTTTCCCTTTCACTCCGGTGAGTGCCGCCCCGCGGGCCGGGGGGTCCTGGCAGGGCTGGGGTCTGTCTGCTGCCAGGGATGGAACGGGGGTGGGCACTACGCAGGGCACGCCAGACCCCGCGGGCTGACTTCAGGACGTCGGCACCCACCTCTGGCTCAGGGAGGACATTGCTAGTGGGGGCCCCGAGATGGTGCCCCCCCCCCCGGGTCACCCTTCTGCCCCATGTCGTTGCCCTGTGGCTGAGCTCACCCAGAGACCCGGGGGACCCTCACGCTGTGCCTTCACCCCGCCCCGAAACACCTTTGGGGTTGGCGTGAGAAGCCGTGTGAGGTGGGGTGCGCTGCTGGGGGTGCCCCACTGCAGCCACTGCACGCCGCATGCCCACAGCTCCTGCCCTGGACGTGGACTGGCAGAACAACACCACCTTCGCCTCCTGCAGCACCGACATGTGTATCCATGTCTGCCGACTGGGCTGCGACCGGCCTGTCAAGACATTCCAGGGGCACACGGTGAGCGGGGGGGCACCAGCACGGAGACACGCCTGGATGGGCGTGCACTGCGTGAGTGTCTGTCAGGGAATTGAGGCCAGGCATCTTGGGGTGGCAGAGGGTGGCTATGATGCAACGCTAGGCTCACCCTCTCCCCCCTAAAAATGGTGTGTGTGGTGTGTGTGTGTGTGTGTGTGTGTGTGTGTGTGTGTGTGTGTGTGTGTGTGTGTTGCTCAGGGCTGCTGATTCCTGGCTCTGCACTCAGGACCATTCCTGGTGGGGCTCCGGGGACCATGCGGGGTGCTGGAGATCAAACCTGGTTTGGCCGTGTGCAGAAACACGAGCCCCTACCTACTGTGCTGTCTCCTCAGCACCCTGCACTCCACAACTTTTTAACAGCGTCCCTGCCCTGCGATGGTGTGTCCGTGTATGTGCGTATGTCTGCATATGCGTGTCTGTGTGTTGTGGGGGGGTCTGTGTCTGTTATGTGTGTCTGTGTGTTGTGTGTCTATGTCTGTGTTCTCTGTGTGTGTGTGCGTCTGTGTGGGGTGTGGGTCTGGGTCTGGGGTGCATGGTCCTCAGCTCCCCCTGGAGGGCCCCCGGCCCCTCCAGTCTGCCCCCTCTTACACTAGCTTAGCATGGAAGATTGTGTGTGTGGGGGGTAAGTCCCATCCAAAGCAATGGGGTTTTTTTTTTCTACTGCACAACTGGGCTTTTTCCACCTGGGGTGCTGTTGTTTTCTGGGAGGGCTGTGGATGCAGGCTGAGCACTGACGCTCTACCAAGCCCTTACTTTAGTGACTCGGGCTTACTGCACGCTGCTGCCCCCTGCTGGCCGGCCACGCTTCCTGCACGGGGCTCATGGTCGGCCCCACCCCCTTGCGGGCTTCTCTTCCAGAACGAGGTCAATGCCATCAAGTGGGACCCATCAGGGATGCTGCTGGCGTCCTGCTCGGATGACATGACGCTGAAGGTAAAGCCCCCCTCCCCCCGCCACCACCCCCTCCAGCCCACCGCGCAGGCCCGCGGACCCTCACCAGCTGCCCTGTGTCGCCCAGATCTGGAGCATGAAGCAGGACACGAGTGTACACGATCTGCAAGCTCACAGTAAAGAGATCTACACCATCAAGTGGAGCCCCACGGGGCCGGCCACCAACAACCCCGGCACCAGCAACATGCTGGCCAGGTACGGGGCGGGGGCCAGGTGACGAGGGGCATGGCTGCCGCTGGCACATGTCCAGAAGGTCCCAAAGGCGTCCAGCGCGGCGCTACTATTTGGGGCCGTGCCGGGGAAGGCCTGGCCCAGGTTCCATCCACACACCCCAGATCCCTCCCGCGCCTCAGGAGAGGTGATCCCTGAGCACAGAGCCAGGAGTAACCCTTGGGTTGTGCCCCATCACCCCAAAAAAGAAAACACACATTGGAAGCAGGGGGGAAGTCGAGGTGCTAGCGCGTGTGCCTGGGTGCAGCCCGTAGCCCGCAGGGGACTGTGGCTCCGAGCAAGTCCCTGAGTGCCATGGGCCGTGGTGCCCTGCCCCCCCCACCCCCCCACCAAAGGCAGATGAAGTGAGCAGATATGGGCTTCGTGGCCCTGGCTTGTTGCTTCTGGGTCTGTGCGTGGATGGCAGGTGTGTGGGGTGGGGAGTGGTCGGGAGCGCTCACGGCGCGCGCTCTCCCCAGCGCCTCCTTCGACTCCACCGTGCGGCTGTGGGACGTGGAACGAGGCGTGTGCTTGCATACGCTCACCAAGCACCAGGAGCCCGTGTACAGCGTGGCCTTCAGCCCCGACGGCAAGTACCTGGCCAGCGGCTCCTTCGACAAGTGCGTGCACATCTGGAGCACCCAGGTGAGTGGGCCGGGGCGGACTGGGGGGGCTGAGCCTTGGTTTGCGGAGACCCAGCTTGGATCCCCGCCACCCCCGAAAATGATTCATGAGCACAGAGGCAGGAGTAAATCTGGGATGTGGCCAGGTGTACTGCCCCCGCCCCCTCGAAAAACACAAAGCGTCTGTCCCGGGCCAGAGAGGTAGCTCAGTGGGCGGGGCACTGGTCTAGCGTGCCTCAGGGCCAGGTCGGGTGTCCTGGCCTGCGCTGGCCTCAGAAAGGAGGTCATGGGCGAGGGTGTGGGTGTGCCCCACCCTAAGTTGTTTCTTGCGGGAGGATGCCAAGAGCGGAGGGCGGGCTGCGGGGGGCACCTGGGGCCGGGTCCCCGTGTGCTGCCTGCACAGGGTCCTGATGGCACGGGAGGCGCTGGGTGTGGGCACGGCCACGCTGACGCTCGGCTTTGCCTTCCAGAGCGGCAACCTGGTGCACAGCTACCGGGGCACCGGTGGAATCTTCGAGGTGTGTTGGAACGCCCGAGGGGACAAAGTGGGTGCCAGCGCGTCCGATGGCTCTGTAAGCAACTCCCGGGGGCCGTGGGGGCGAGGCACAGGGTGGACGGGCTGTACAGGTTCATTGTGCGGCGGGGGGCTGGGGGGCTGCGTGTGCTGCGAGCCGGGCTGCCATGTTAAGGTGAGGGCCACTGTTGCCCCCTGCAGGTGTGCGTCCTAGATCTGCGGAAGTGAAGGCCACGTGGGGCCGCCAAGACACCCAGATTTTCAAGGGGGCCCGGAAGCAGACGCCGGCGTCTGGTCCAGCCGCGACGGCGGTCGTCGGCATCGATGTGCTGCCTCACCCTGTCTACTGCCACAGCGGACACAGGCGCGGCCTGCGGTCCAGGCGGCTGGGGAGTCCGCGCGGCCCCGGCCACTCGAGGGTCCATTGGTTTTCTTTTGTTTGTTTGTTCGTTTGTTTGTTTGGAATCCTGGCGTGGGCGTTGACAGGAGCGCGTGCACAGCGCCCCTCCCGGGCTGCCAAGGACAGGGGCCCGGACACGGCCGCGGGGGGCGGACGGGAACAGCTGTGCCAAAAGGAAGGACGCGGCGCTGCGGTGGAGCCACGGGGCGGCCAGGACAGCCTCGAGGACGCCCCTCACGTCCCCCGCAGTCTGGACACCCGGAGTCACTGGCGCAAGCTGTGACCCGCACACTTTGCTTCTCTACGATCCCTGTTGCGTTGTTTCCTGGTGTGGCCTGGGGCTTGGGGGAGGGGACGGGGGTCACTCTGTCTCGGGTGGCCGCCCTGCGCCCAGCCCTCTCCTCCCGTCTCCTCTGTCCGTCCGCCCCTCCCGCCCGTCTTGTCCCCTCTTGCTTCAGATGTTCATCGGGTCGGTGTCCAGGGCACTTTCTGGCGCATTACTAAGTGCTTTATGTACGAAGGCGAGGGGCTTTTTTCAGACGGGGGGTGGGCGGGGGAAAGACTTATAAGAGGAAGAAGAGCCCTGAGTATTTTTGCAGAAAAAAAAAAAACAGTTATTTTTATGTTGAAATGATTAAAAAAGAAAAAATCCTAACGCAGCCTTCAGACACAACTTTGTCTCACGCCGACATGGGTCGGCCCCGCAAGCTGACGGGGTCTCGAGGGACAGGGACAGAGGCCCACATAGGGGCCGGACAAGAGTGTCCTTACCCACAAGAGGACTGTGCAGGTGGCAGCTGAGTGACCCTGTGGGCTGGCTTGAAGCTCCTGGCTGGGGTTTTTTTCTCTCTTTGGGCGGAAGAGTGTGCCCGCAGCCTGTGTCACCAACACTTTCCCGTTGTGGCACTGGTGTCTGTGGTCTTTGTGGATGGTGACCCCCACACCCCCGCCCCAACCCTGTGGCGGGGAGACTGGGCTCCGCCCCGTGGCGAGGCCTGCTTTTCTGCAGGAGCGGCGGCTGGGGTGTCTGTGGGGTGCGTTTCGTCGTGGCCCCACTGCAGCCGTGACAGTTTATTCTGAGGGGGCCAATGAGTGGCAGGGTCGTCTCCATGGAGGCCACATGTTGTCATTGGACGGGTGAGGTGGGATCCATGGCTGGCCTCCGTGGCCTGTGTCCACAAGCTCCTCAGCCGTCTGCAGACCAAGCAGAGGATGACGATTGGGTGGCATCTGGCAACTCACCCGCCACACCCCCATCCCGTCAGCAGAGGCCAGAACCCAGCAGGGAGCTGGCACATGTCCTGCCCCAAGCACTCTCAAGCTGCGATGAAGTTCATGGGGGCCCTTCTGAGACACTGTGTCCCCATGGCACGTGAGCTGTGCCCTACACTTCGTGGGGGCCCTTCTCTGAGGGCCCGTGGCGACATCACAGAGAGCACTGGCCGTGAAGCCCGTCTTCCCCCCACACTGCACCTTTAGCCCTAGGTGTGGGCTGGTGCCGAGCGCCACAGAGTTGAGCCGTGAGGTCTGACCAAGCTGGGGTTTTTGGGGCGAGATGCAGACGCGGCCTGCACCTGCATAGCCCAGCGGCCAGCCCTGGGGTGAGATGCTATGCTGTTCGCCACCGTGTCTGCAAGACCGTTCTGGGCCCTGGGTGGCTGTTACGCCCAGCTGGGCACACAGGCGGTGCTGGCGTTCAGTGGCAGCAGGTGCACTGCGTGGGTGACACAGGATGCACCGGGAGGGACCTGCCCCTCTGGCACTGCTCCCATTCTTGCCAAACTCGGAACTTTGTCCCTGGAAGCTAAGACGGATGCGGGCCTGGCTTCTCTCGAGGTCCTCAGTTCCAGACTTCGTCCGATGCACAACGAGCTGCCACCTTCCCGGCCCCGAGCTCGGTCCCCGCCTGGGCGCCAGACTGCCGCTCTTCCTGCCGCCCCGGCCCTGCGTGCCGGACTCTGCTCGGCCGGGTTGCTGTCAGATGGGACCCGCCACCCGCCCCGTGCCCCCTCTGCACGGCCCGGGAAGCCCTACCTGTGCGGTGTGCAGAATGAGGTGCTCTGTGGTACAAGAGCCCAAGTGCCGTGGCCTGCTTCCTTGGGCCGGGTCAGGGCATGTGAGGACTGACGGAGACCATCCCCTGCACTCGGGTGCCGTGGTGCCAGCCCCAGGTTGGAGGAGCTCATGCTCGGTTTGCGGGGTGGGGGGTGGGGGCTTGTCCACAGGTGCCGCCGTGCTGGTGGCACTGGGTGTCAGCCCGGCTGCAGCCGCTTGGTCATTGTATCTGCACCCTGGCAGGCTGCCGTGGCGGTCCTCCCTCCCTGTGTGGATCCGGTGGGTCGGGCCATGCCGGGTGCCCTGGACAGTCCTCCGGAGCGTGATTTTTTGTTGTTTTTGTTTTTTTTTTAAGGTAGGAGTACTGCTATTTATTCAGCCACTGATTAGGCTGATTGAATTGGACATGAACTCTACCTCCAGAGCATTTCTCTGCCAGGGTCCTGCTGTGTGGAGTGACCGGGATTGCGGGGCGGATGTCTGGGCTGTGCCTGACGGACTCTGGGAGTCCGTGGAGGCCCCGTGCGAGTCCCTGCTGTGTCTCTCTCGGTTCTTGGACTTGGGCCTGTGCAGGGGGACTTGCTCTGGGCTCAGTGGTGCTGGGAGCTGATACAGGCCAGACCATGCCAGCCTGATTCCACTGATGCCACTCCACGCTGTGGAGGCCGACTGCCAAGCGAGAAGCCATGGCTGGCCGGACGGCCAAGAGGCACCTGGAACAGGCCAGCCGCTATGGGGGTTTCAGGCGCTCGACCTGGGTCTCTCAGGGGCTGGGCCAGCAGGTCAGAGGGCTGGAGCAGGGGCTGCACAGACCTCTAAGTGCCACCGGCTGGGACCTGACACCCAGGGTAACTCGGTGTCTGGGTCGAGGGAACGTGATGAGGTGAGGGGTGCAGAGATGGGGCGCCGTGCTTTTACTATTTTGTTGTTGTTTTGGGGTCCCACCTGATGATGCTCAGAGCTCCCTTCTGGCTCTGCCTACACTCAGGAATCACCTGGTGGTGCTCAGGGAATCACCTGTGGGGTGCCGGGGATGGAACCTGGGTCAGCTGTGTGCAGCACAAATGCCCTCCCCGCTGGACTGCCCCTCTCCCCGCCCCACCCCGGCCCATGGTGCAGGGCCTGCAGAGTGCCCTTCGGGTTGGCCCACTCTAAAACTGTCTCCACGCCAGGCCCCCGCTGCGCTGATGTTCTGGGCTCCAGGCCTGCCCCACCCAGACATGGGCTGTGCGTGTCCATGACCCCAGCCCAGCGTGGACATGAGCTGTGTGTTTTGGTGAACCCTACCCAGTGTGGACATGGGCTGTGCATGTCTGTGACCCCCACCCGGCCATAGCTGTGTGTGTGGACTTACTTGGAGGAGAGAAACGGGGACAGAGGGTGACGCCCCTCTCCCTGCACAGGCTCGCAGCTGGCTGGACCCGGCCATGGGTGTGATGTTCCCCCTGTGCGTGGCACCCGCCTGCAGCGTGGTGCTAGAAAGCAGCACAGAGCCTGTCTCCAGCCGCACTCCTCAGTCAATGCTCCGGAGCACTGGACCATCCTGCTCCCTGCCAAGCTCGGTCGTGGACATGAGATGGTGCCCAGGCACGAGCAGTGACCTGGACAGGCCTTTGAGGGGTGTCCACTAAGCCAAACTGCAGGCTCCTGGCTGGCACGGCTCGTGGGGAGCTTCCCCAGCCACACACTAGCACTGACCACTGTCGCCACCACCGACATGGCCATCGACGTCACAAGCAGCACGTGCGAGGAGAGGCGTGGGGCCACGCAGTCCCGATGCTGCCCAGGCAGGCGCCTCACAGACGGACACTTCGTGCACCCCCTCCATGGCCACCACGGGCTGCCCGTAGCTGAATGTGGACGTGTGTCACGCTCCTGTCAGCCTCCTGCATTTTATACTGAGCCCCAGAGGAAGGCTGAGGAACGGGTGGATGGTCAGCTGAGAGGCATGTCCGGTGGCCTCAAGTGGCTGGAGACCCGGATGGTCACGGGAGACGGGGGACCGCGGCGCCCTGACAGGGCAGGCCGTGGGAGCTGGGCCTCCGCCTGGCCCGGCTCCCAACTGCCCAGGGCCCCCGGCCTGTGGCCTCAGCCAAGTCGGCCTGGCTCTAGCTATCCTGAAGGTCAGGGGGCATCTGGGCTGGCGGCTGGCGCAGGCCTCCGGGGAGTGGTGGCTGGACAGAGCCTCTGCGGATGCATCCAATGTCCTTCCCCCACCGAGAGGACACTTTTCTGTTTGGACATTTTCCGGTGTTTGGCTTTTGTTGGGGGAGGTTGGTTTTGCTGGGTCTGATCACAGCCTCTGCTCAGGGATCCCCAGCAGGCCACCTCGCTTGCCCCCACCCTTTTCTGTTGTTTGTTTGGGGTCACACCTGGCAGTGTTCAGGGCTTACTCCTGGCTCTGTGCTCAGGGACAGCTTATAGCGGGCTCAGGGGGACACCCGGGGTGCTGGGGACTAGACCTGGCTCAGTCACACTCAGAGCAAGCACTGCCCACACTGCTTTTGCTTCAGGCCTGGAAAGTGCTTTCCTTCCTTCCTTTTGAGGGTCCCTGAAGCCAGTTCCGGACAGGGTAAGCGCTCTCTTACCCACCGTCCCATCGCCCTGGCCACGACAACCCGTTTTCTGAACCTCTAGCTTCAGTGCAGAGACAACAGCGAGGTGTGCTTGGGAGCAGAAGCCGGACTTCGGGGAGCCTCAGCTGAGGAGGGGAGCACAGCTCTGGCCCCTTTATTGTGCGGCTTTTGCGAGGACCTGGCTACACGCTTCCTGCCGTGCCTCGCGAGGTTCTGCTATGGTGGGGGCAAAAAGGGTTTGGGGGCGTCGCATTCCCGCAGGTGGGATGAGGAGGTGGGCAGGGCCCAGAGTGGCTGTGTGCCCATCCCCGACACTTCCCTCACACGTCTCCGTGGACTTCGGGCACCGAGCTTTTTCCGTGGACGGCCCCGTTGCTGCCAACATGGATTTCAATGGTGCTGGCGTCGGAGCCTGGGTGGGGGGAGAGAGAACAGGGAGGTGGGGGTCGGCACCCGGTCCCAAGGCTGCCTCGTCCGCACCACCGGCTCACGTCACACCACTAGACACCACTGGAAAGGAATTATGAAGATGGGGCCACGGGCCACCTTGGCCCACGCACCAAGATCTTGCGACAGCAGAGATGCATCCCAGAGAGGCGCCCCCCTCCCCCCCACACACACACATGTACACACAAATAAGGCCGCAGTGAGGACAAGCAAGCACCTGCAGCTCACAGTGGACGTCATTCCCGGGACACGAAGGTTCATGGCACTCTGTGGGCGCCTCTCAGGCCAGCACCCGCTTCCCACGAGCCAGCGTGCCTGAGGGCAGCTGCCGGCTTCTCTTGCCCACAAGTGGCCCAGAAGGGCCTGGTCTCTGCAGGGACACGCAGGAAGCCTGTCCAATGGGTGGGACAGATGCCCAGGGGAAAGTTGCAAATGCCCAGTGACTGGCCTCACCATGGCTGCCCGTGTCCTGTCTGCGTGCCTGCTGGCCTGCCTCTCTGAGCGTGGCGGTGCCACGGGGCTGTGCTGGGCAGCTTATCTCCGGATCTGCGCTGGGCCAGCCTCCCCGTGGGGGGATTTCTAGAATCCTTGCTCTGCACCCCTCCCAGCAAGCTGGGATGCTGTGTGGCATCACGCATCTGCTCTGGGCAGGAGAGTGGGTGCACTGAAGGTGGCCGGTCATGCAGGAAAGGTGTCCTCATCACGCCCACCTTCCTTGTGGGTCGCAAGGAAGAGTATTGCCACAGCTGGGGCAGTACATCGTCCCGAGAGTGCCTGCTGGCACACTGCTCACTCACATTGGAGCCAGGATGGCCTGAGGGCGCAACGCCAAAGCGGGCAGGGCCCTGGGGAGCTACATTCCTGCAGGAGGGGCTGGCCGGAGACACGGGCACAGAAAACTGGGGTTCCTGCAGGGTCACCCGTGCTCCCAAGGACAGGCCGGACGCGTGGGAACTTCGTGTCACTTCTCAGCCCTTCCGCCAAACAGGCAAGACTGGTCATGGAGGCCTGTGGGGGCGACCTCACACTTTGGGGTGCACTCAGATGCACCCGGGGCTTGTGGGGGCGATATCACACTTTGGGGTGCACTCAGATGTACCCGGGGCTTGTGAGGGCAACCTCACAATTTGGGGTGCTGTCACATGCACCCAGGGCTTGCCAGGGCGACCTCACACTTTGGTGTGCAGTCACATGCACTAGAGGCTTGTGGGGTGACCTCACACCTTGGGGTGCACTCATGCACTTCCCGGGGAGCTGTTCCTGCTACTTTGGCGAGGCGCTGGGCTCCAGGGTGCATGGGAGCCTCAGCTGCATTGTCAGGCATCCCCCACCTGCTGTGCGCCCCCTGGCGGCAAGCCTGGTCCCAACCCGGAGACTGGGAGAAAGATGCTGTGAATGCATATTGCCCAAGGGCCGAGTGCTCCTTCAATTATTTGGGCTTTGGGGGTCACACCCAGCAGTGCTCAGCGCTTACTCCTCCTGGAGGGCTCGGGGGACCAGAGGGATGCCGGGAATCAAACCCAAGTCGTTCTGGCCCCAAGCTGCTGTTTAATGACTCCTTAATGCAAAGCTCGTGCTGCACCCAGGTAGCCATCACTAATGCCCCACAATGGCACCTTTTTTTTTTTTTTTTGCTTTTTGGGTCACACCCGGCAATGCACAGGGATCATTCCTGGCTCATGCACTCAGGAATTGCCCCTGGTGGTGCTCGGGAGACCATATGGTATGCTGGGAATCGAACCCGGGTCCGCTGCGTGCAAGGCAAACGCCCAACCCACTGTACTATCACTCCAGCCCCATGACAACACCCTTTAGAAAAGCAGTTACTTTCGTAGTGCTTGGGGCACCCTTTGGTGCTGGGGTTCAAATTTCCACCTTGAGCTCTACCCATGCCCCATAGTGACACCCGTTAAAGGAACATCTGGCAGCGTCACACTTGGCGGTGGTAGGGGGCGATTCCTGCCCCTGTGCTCAGGGATCACTCCTGCCAGGCGGGCTTCTCTGGGCTGGGAATCAAGCGGGCTCAGCTGTGTGCAAGGTGAGCGCCTGAGCCACTGTGCTGCCTGCAGCCCCACAGGCCCTCACAGCCTCTGTTGAGCCCTTGCACCCCAGACAGCTGCACAGGGCAGGGCAGGGATGTGGCCCGGAGTAAAATGGGAAACGGGTGGGCAGAGGCCAGAAGGCTGGAACACTGGGGTAAAGACAGGGATGACCGTGAGCTGGGGACAGCTGAGACAGAGAACACTGCCCTAGGGGCAGGGCAGGGAGCAGAAATGCAGAGGCTGGGAAAGTGGTCAGGGCAACCTGACACTTGGGGGGGGGGGCGGGGCATGGCGGGAGATGGGGCCTGTAGCAACAGCAGAAGGAGCAGTGCAGGGGCCACAGATGGCCTTCAGGTCCACGTGGGCTGCAGGAAGGGGAAGAGGGGAGGGGGCAGAGAGCTCCGGGCATCAGATCCAGGGACCGATCCTGCCTAACACAGACAAACACAGAACCCAACACTCACCGAGATACACACACACTGAGACACAGACTCAGACACACACCAACACACACTGAGATACACGGAGACATACATACCAACACACAGGGACACACTAACAAAACATGGAGACACCAACATATCAAGCCACACCCCGACACTGAGACACCCTAAGACACAGAGACAGCAACCAGAACTGTGGGCATTTCTTCTGTTTGCCAGGGATGCGACTGGGAGGCCACCTTACAAACCAGCATTGTGGGCATGCGTTCTACCTGCCAGGGATAAGACCAGGAGGCACGGAACATAGATCCCATGACCAGCTCACCCACACTCCAATGCCTACCTCCCTTCACCTCTCACTAGCGCAAGGCCCTCGCCCCAGCCTTAGAGGACACCCGGTTAGCTCAGGGGCCCTCGCCCCAGCCTTAGAGGACACCCGGTTAGCTCAGGGGCCCTCAGGTGAGCTCGCCTTGGCCACGCCCCTCCCGACAAAGCCACGCCCCCAGCCCCCCAAAGGCCAACCTCCAGAGCCACGCCTAGAACCCTATTCTGGTCACGCCCCCTTTCCATCTGTGTCCCTTTCTGTGTTTTTTTTTGTTTTGTTTTGTTTTTTTCTTTTTGGTTCACACCCAACAATGCTCAAGGGTTACTCCTGGCTCTGCACTCAGGAATTACTCCTGGCAGTGCTGGGGAGACCATATGGGATGCCGGAAATCAAACTTGGGTCGGCCGCGTGCAAGGCAAACGCCCTACCCGCTGTACTATCGCTCCAGCCCCCTGTGTCCCTTTCTGAAGGCCCTCTGGGAGCATTCTGGGAGCAGCCTAGAGCTAGAGCTTGTTCTGCAGGGCCAGAGCCTGCTTGCAGTCCGGGCACCCTAACATGCAGCCTCAGGCACCAGCACCCCCCCATTACTGCAGACAAGTAGCAGATCTCAAGGAGCAGTACTGCCCAAGGATGACCCGGGCTGAGGGGCTGAGTTTCCGGTTTTCTCTTGTTTGGTTTGGGGGGCACACCCTCATTGCTCAGGTCCTCCTCCTGACTCTGCACTCAGGAATCATTCATTCCTGTTGGGCTCGGGAGACCATGGGGATGCTGAGGATCCAGCTGGAGTTTCCCGCCTGCAAGTAAGTGCTCTACCTGCTGTCCTATCGTTCCAGCACCCCGACCTGAGTTTTGGTGAGACAAGAAGAGACTAGCAAGCAAAGGAAGATGTGTCTTGCTAGGAGCGGGTGGGGCAGCAGGCAGGACTTGATAAGCCTGGGGCTGCTAGATCCGCTTAGCAGGAATAACTCCAGGCAGCAAAAGGGAACTTGCCCACCCGCCAATGCTAGGGATCAGCTTGAGGGCGTCAGGCGTGCAGGGGAGTGTTCTCACCTCAAGCTCTACTTGCAGACCCCTGAAGAAACATCTGCGTCTCGTGCATTTCTGGACACAGTTATAGTGAAGTCGAACCTATCCTAGCTCTTACAGTTTTCTACCCAGTGGAGTCAGATGTGCTCCCCAACGTTCTTCTTGTACCAGCAGTAACGATATTAGGGTCATAGAGCTGGAGTGATGGTACAGGTGGTTTGCCTTGTACGTAGCCAACCCGGGTTCAATCCCCAGCACCCCATATGGTTCCCCCAAGCCTGCCAGGAGTGATCTCTCAGCACAGAGCCGGAAGTAAAATCTCCGCACTGCCAGGTGTGGCCCCCTCCCCCCAAATAAAAAAGGATGAAAAGGAGGGGAAGAAATTTAAAGACTGGTTGATGGAAGCAGGGACAGGGAGAGTTAAGAGCAGGGGACAGCCAGCAGGTAAGTGCGTTGCTGGACCCAGAAGCTCTCTGTTGAGGAGGGTCCTTGCTCACAGCTGACCCACATTCAGTCTCAGCACTCCAAATGGTCCCCTGAGCCCTGCCAGGAGTAATCCCTGAACACAGGGTCAGGAGTAAGTGCTGAGCACTGCTGTATGTAGTGCACAGACCTCCCCCCCCCACAGACACACACAGGCACGCCGCGTGCACACACAAAAGAACATTCCTGCGGAGTATAAAGGCACTGGTTCCGCCTCAGTTCCTTCAGACTCCAGGAAAGAGGAAATGTCAGGCCTGGTGAAGCATTCCGGTGGCCTTAGGATGGAAAGCAACCAAGTTTTTGTCTGTTTAAAGGAAAAAAAAAGAAGCCTCCCCACCACCACCACCACCATTTTTCTAGACTTTTAGCCCACAGGGAAATTCCAGTTCTTTACAAAGCTGTTTTGGAGGAAACTGTCACTCACGGATGTAAACTCTTTGTAAACTGTCACCACCAAAAGAGGCCCGCAAGCCCCTCCCACACCCAGGCCTGGGGGGGCTGGGCCCCAGCAGATCTGAGCCTGTCTCTCCAGCTTAAAAACCCTAACATCAAACAAACAACAAAAAAAAGTGGGGGCGAGGGCAGGGAGAGTGTTTGATCTGTTGGAGCACTGGGCTGGGGGTAACCCCGGCACTGCAGAGCAAAGCAAACTCTCTGGTGGGGCGGGGGGCAGGGGGAGGAGGGCAGACTTCCTGAGCACTGGGATGAAGCCTTCATCTGGCCCCCAGCTGCCTGCTCCCGCTCCTGGTCCCTCCACCCTCCCTGTCCCTGTCCGGGTCCTCCTGCTGCTCTGCTCAGCACCTCCGTTGCCCACTGGCCGCGCTGGGGCCAGCACCCTCGCTCACACTCACTCCCCACTCCCCAAAGGAAAACTGGAGGCTGTCAGTGCCTGTCACACAGAAGCTCTCCCTCCAGCTCGGGGACATGCCTGGGTGGCCAGCATGTGCCCACTCGCCTCCCATCCCGGGGCAGAGCAATAGGGCAGCGACCAGGGTGGGCAGCCAACACGGGGCACCCCTGCATGAGGGCCTCAAGCCAAGAGATAAGTGAGTCAAGCTAAGCATGGGTCTACACTTATGCTCCTTCTGCCTTGAAAGACGGTGTTTCCGCAGGAAGCCTGTCCCGGAGTGGACCTGTGCCAGTGAGCTGTGATGAGCAGGCTGCTGTGACATCTGTGTACCCAATGGCGTCCCTTCACTTTTTTGGGGGGGAAGGGGGCTTTTTGGTCACACCCAGCAATGTTCGGGGTTTACTCCTGACTCTACACTCAGGAATTACTCCTGGCGGTGCTCGGGACCCTATGGGATGCCGGGGATCCAACCCCGGGGTCAGCCATGTGCAAGACAAACGCCCTCCCCACTGTTCTATCGCCCCAGCCTCTCGTTATTTTTTTTAGTTGTTTTGGAGACACACTCTGTGCTTCTGGGTCATGCTCGGTGTGGGGACCATGAGGTTCCAGAGTTTGAACCATACCTCTCCCGTGCAGAATACACGCTCATCCCTTTGAGCTGTCTCCTGGCCCTTGGAACAGTCCTCTCCTTGGAGGCTCACCCAGCAGTGCTCCCCAGTTCCAACTGCTGGCTTAGTCCTATGGGACCACGTGGTGCCGAGGATCAATCCTGAGCTTCCCAGATGCGGGGCTCACACTGCAGCCCACGGTGCTGGCATCTGCTTTCTGCTTGCTGTTTCTCCCTCCCTCCCTCCCTCTCTCTCTCCCTGTCACTCTCTGTCTTTCTCACCATCCGTCTCTCTGTCTCTGTCTCTCTCTCCCTCCCTCTCCTCTGTCTCTCCCTCTCTCTCTGTCTCTGTCTCTCTCTTCCTCTCTCTCTCTCTCCCTTTCTCTCTCTCACCCATGCCCTCCCTCTACTCAGGGATCACTCCTGGCCAGACTTGGAGGACCATCTGTGATATCAGGGACTGAACCTGAGTCAGCCGTGTTCAAGGCAAGTGCTATCACTCAGGCCTACCACATTCTACTTGGGGGTGGGGGTGGGGGCCACCACAACCTGCAGTGCTCAGGGATCACCCCTGGAAGTGCTTGGGGGACCCTATGGGATGCTAGGAATCGAACCCGGGTCGTCCGCATGCAAGGCAAACGCCCTACCTGCTGTGCTATCACTCCAGTCCTGAACACGGCCCCTTCTTGCTGCTCTCCTCTAGGGCCTGACCGAAGCCTTTAAGGAAACTGAATGGGTTTTTTTCTTGGTAAGTGTATGGGGGGGGGGGGGGCGCATCTGGCGGCACTCAGGAGCCACTCCTGGCGGTGCTCGGGGGAGTCCTGTGGAATGCCGGGGATTGAACTCGTGTTGGCTGCGTGCAAGGCAAGTGCCCTCCCGGCTGTGCTGTCTCTCCGGCTGCACTACGGGCCAGCTTGGCAAGGAGAGCACCTGACAGCTAAGGCCAGGCCTCCCTCCCATGCCCCACTGGTCTGGCCTTGCTGGGTGTGGCCATCACCCTCTGGATTCCCCCAGCCCAACCCTGCTGCGCTGACTGCACGGGTGCCCAGACGGTGCAGACCCCAGGGGCCCTTCTTCCCACACGGCCTGCATCTCCGCGGGGCAGAGGCAGGCTGCCAGGGCCCGGGCGCCTCACCTTCGGACAGCAGGCTCAGGGCTTCATCCGATGTGTGGCCCGCTCCCACCTTCCGGGAAGGGAGCCCGTTGAGGGGCCCGCGGGAGCCCTCAGGGGACGGATAAGCGGGCTCAGGAGCGGAGGTCAGCGACTCCCACGGGATCTCCTTCGTTGTGGACCGCCCAGGTGCGCCGCAGCCCGTCCAGCCATGGAAGGCCAGGGACAAGAGGAAGCCCTGGGCCGGGTTCAGGATGCCCTGCAGGGGACAGAGACAGGGCTGAGCACCGCAGGCGGCCCCACGTGGAAACACATCTGTAGATCACTCGGGTCGGGCAGGTTAGGGTGCGAGGTGCAGGCGTAGTGCAGCGAGAAGGGCAGCTGCCTTGCGTGCGACACACCTGGGTTCAGGTTCGATCCCCAGCATCCCATATGGTCCCCCAAGCCCTGCCGGGAGTGATCCCTGAGCACAGAGTCAGGTGTGGCCCGAAACCACCCTGTATCACTGTATCACTGTCCTCCTGTTGTTTATCGATTTGCTCGAGCCGGCCCAGTAATATTGTGAGACTTGTTACTGTGTCTGGCATATCAAATACGTCATGGGTAGCTTGCCAGGCTTTGCCATGCGGGCGAGATACTCTCGGTAGCTTGCCGGGTTCTCCGAGAGGGGCGGAGGAATCGAACCCGGGTCGGCCAAGTTGGCTGCGTGCAAGGCAAACGCCCTACCCACTGTGCTATCGCTCCAGCCCCAAACCACCCACCCCCCAAAAAAATAGAAGTTTCGGGGGCCAGAGTAGTGGTCCAGCACGGAGGGTATTTGCCTGGCAGGCAGCTGATTCGGGTTCTGTGGGCAAAGCACCAGAGAGTCCCCGGGTGCAGAGTGACGGTAAGCCCTGAGCATCGCTGGCTGTGGCCCAAAATATCAAAAGGTAAACGTTTGGGTACCCTCGTGAGGGGGAGGGGAGGGGAGCTCGCAGCTCCGTGGAGGCAGGGGCCTCTCCCAGCAGCTCGGCTGGGAGCTTGTGGTGTGGGGGAGACAGTTTATGATGAGCACCGTGGAACAAAATGACCTTTCCACGTGTTTTGTGTGGACCCACGCAGTACATGTTTTTCCACGCAATGCTGGTGGGGGGTTGTTTCTTTTTTCATTTAGGGGGACACACCTCAAGGTGTTTGAGGGCTCCTTCCGGCTCTGCTTTAGGGCTGCTCCCAGCAGTGCTGGGGGACTGGTCGTGTCCTGGGTGCCCACCAGGCCACCCTGCACACAGAGCGATGCCTGACGCCTCAGCCCCCACCACTGCCACTTTTGTTGGTTGGGGTCACACCTGGCTATGCTCAGGGTCCCTCCTGGAGGGTGGAGGGACCATATGGGATGCCGGGGGTAGAACCTGGGTCGGCTGCATGTGAGGCCAGCCTGACATATAACCTGTACTATGGCTCAGCCCCCTGACCTGACATTGTACATGTCTGCAGGACAGTCTACCAGGTTGAAAAAGAGAAATTTACCTAATGATTCCCCTCTGCTCATGCATGTACATAAGTACATATGGAGACAATCCCAATTAAATATATATGTTTAGACTGTACTGGGGGGAGCCCAGTGCCCTGTTGGACAGTGGTCGCAGGGGACCCTTCCCACCACGTGCCTCCGTGCTCTCCATGACATAGTCATATACACATCCGAAGGTGGCCAGGATTCTCTGCCCGTTCCTGCACATGTGCTGTAGTGCTGGAGATATGTTCCTCAACGCACACTGTGTTGTGTGTTGATATATATTAAATACATGTTTATTATATAATTATATAATTATATTAATTGATATGTATTAATTAATTAATTTGCAGCCACGCGACATCTCACTTTCTCACTCTTGCTTTGGACAACCTGGCAGGCTACGGAATGTCACCTGCCCACACGGCAGAGTCTGGCAAACTCCCCGTGACTTACCCAATTTGCCAAATACCAGTAACAATGATGGCTCTCATTCTCCTAACCCTGAAAGAGCCTCGAATATGGCACTTTTTAAAAAATCTCAGGGCTAGGACGAAGGAGACGTTACTGGGGCCTGCTCGAGGCAATCGATGAACAACAGGATGATCGTGATCATGATATGTATTAAATATAGATTTAATTTGGGTTGTCTCCAAATCATTCCACTTATGAATAATGCTTTTTTTCCCTTTGGTTTTGCTTTGGGTCCCACCTCACGGTGCTCAGGGCTTACTCCCGGTGGGGACCAAACAGGGTGCCGGGGATGGGACACGGCAGGGCGGCTGGCGTGGCTGAGTAACGTTATGGTGCATCTCTCTCCCTGCAGCTCTGCCGGCGTTGGAAACGGCTGTGCAGGTGCAGTGCCCAGACACGCCGAGTCTGTCTGAATGGCTTTGGCCGGTGGCCAGACTTGTGTGCCGGGGCTGTCTGCATTCACCCACGGCCTGGAGGCTGCAAAGAGCCAGGAGCCAAACCCCGCCCTCCTGACTGGGGGTGAGGTGGGAAGTCATGGGGTTATGCGCTGGGGGGTAGGGTTCCCAGTCATCAGGGGACCCTGGGGAACCTGATGAGGGTAGGGCCAGAGCGATAGTCCAGTGGGGAGGTCATTTGCCTTGCTTGCAGCTGACCCGGGTTCGATCCCCAGCGTCTCATAGGGTGCCCTGAGCATGCCAAGAATAATTTCTGAGTGCAGAGCCAGGAGTCACCCCTGAGCATCGCTGGGTGTGACCCAAAAAGCCAAAAAGAAAAAAAATAAGCCTGAGGAGCGGGTAAGGGGCTCCTTGTACTGGGATATGCAGTATTACACTTGGCAGTGCTTTCAGGCCTCCAAGGCGGAACCCGGTGGACCCTCCACACGCACTGGCCGGGCGCGCAGGCAGTTACGGATTTCTCTGTTGTTGCTCTTCATGTTTCCCCTCCCCGCTTCTCTCCAAGAAGGAAAACTCCAGGGCTGGCACGCTGGCTCATGGGCTGTCCATGTGAGAGGTTTGGGTTTGACCCCCGCATGGCAGGACTGACCCGAAGCCCAGAGCCAGCAGCAGTCCTTGAGTGTCACGGGCGCCGCCCAAAACCCCACAAGACAAAGACGCGCCGCCAAGCCCCAGGCCCAGAGAGACGCACCAGAATGAACCAGGTGGTCTTCGCTGCAGTCCTGGCCTGCCTCAGAGAGCCCCGGCTGATGTCCGGTTGCGTTTCCAGGTAGAATAACAGGCTCTCATTGATGACGTTGGGCAGCCAGCTGGCGGAGAGAAGCGGCCCCGAACCAAGGCTTAGTTATTTGGGGGAGACCCATTTGGACCCGTTCGAACCCGTGAGCATGGCGCATCGGCAGAGAGAGGTGACTGACTGCCTGACTCTCCCAGGAGCCGCCAGACCCAGCACCTCTGCGGGATCGGGTCCAGGCAGGCTCCGGCCCTCCCATTCTCCCTCTTGGGTCTGGGTCTTGGTCACTTCCTGCGGTGGAAGTGCCCTCGCGGGCACGACCCCAGACTCTGAGCTGCGGTGACCCTCTCACTTTCTTCCTCTCCACGGGGCAGCGCCCCGGACGCTGGGCAGCTTCCATCTCACAGAGCCTGGTCTGCGGCGGGGGGAGGGGGGTAAGGAAAGCCCGCACCTGACATCCAGGGCCAGAAGCCTGGAGGCCCCCGAGGGACAGAGCCAACTCGGCGGTGGACACAAGGGTGTCTCCCTGCCAGAGCTTCCTGCCACTGTCCCTCCGGAAAGGCAGGATTCCCCAGGGTTAGGAAACGTCAAAATGGACCTGACCGAGGCATGTCATTTAGACAGGGTGAGCACTTTTCTAGCGGAGCAGCTGCCCTGTTCCTTTCTCTTGACTCTGACTGGGCCCAGGTAGAACTTTTGTCCTGCACTGACAGGGAGCCCAGAGCCCTGCTGGACAGTAGTGGCCAGGGGTGGACCCTTTCCGTCCACGAGCCTCTGTGTTCTTTACGACATGCTGACATACACTTCCCTTGACGGTGGCCAGGGTTCTCTGCCCACCCCTGTGCGTGTGCCGGCGTGCCCCCTAGATGCTGCCAACGCCCGCCGGACCGTGTATTCACATGCTCCATCCCACCCTCATGCAGATGCGGGGGATTCCTGAACACCTCCTAGAATATGCACCGGCTGATACTTCTCTCTGCGAACCCGGGCCCACTCTCTAGCCCCCCCTCCCCCTTGGAAGCTGTTGGCAGCCTGGGCTGGTGGACCTGCCGAATAAGGGAATAACAGCGTCATCCCTGCTCCAGGCAATGACAATTAAAGTTACCAGGTAATTAGAACCAGCATGATTTTGACAAATCGGGTCTTGATCATGGAGCCCATCTGCCTCTCGGTGTCCGTGTAGACGCCTTGTCTTCCTTTGAGCAGGGATGTCACTGCGTGGAGGAGCAGAGGGGACATGCCCTGAGTGGCCCCGTGGATGGTTTCCCGGAAACCAGGAAGGGGATCCCCAAGGGCCCGTGGGGCGGGTAGGCCCTGCCTACCCTTCCCAGTCCAATAGCCACTGGTGCTGTCACAGAGCCAGTGGGAGAGACAGCCCACCACCTCAGCTCTGGAATCGTTTTATTACTGTTTTTGCCGGGGAATGTTTGAGTAGTTCAGCCGCTACTGTGTTCGGGCTTCCGTGCATGGGGTGTCCTGGAATGGTTTCAGAAGCACAGAAGTTTGGCAAATAGAGTCAGGAGTGGGAGGGGCGCTCTGTCCCCTCTGTCCAAGCCCCCATCAACATTTGCCACAACTACTCTACAAGTACTGCGACACCAAACTTGGCAGGGTCTCTCCAGGTCGGAGATAAGGTGCACCCCCGTCCCCACTCGGGCGTGGGAAGAGAAGAGGGTGGAGCGGAAGAGAGAAGGAAGGGAAAGGCTCCAGACTCCCGGATCAGCTGTTCTCCATCAACGTTTGCCACAACTACTCTACAAGTACTACGACACCAAACTTGGCAGGGGACTGGCAACTGAAGCAGCGTTATTCCTCTGGTTGCTATCACGACTAAATCAGGTTGGACACAGGGTCGCGATGTGAGGGGCTTAGTCTTGGCTCTGCGCTCAGGGATCACTCCTGGCGCACCACATGGGCAGTGCCAAGGACTCAACCCAGGTTGGTGGCATGCCAGGCCAGCGCCGTCCCGGCTGCACTATCCCTCCTGCCCTGGAGGCGGGTTTGAATGTAGGCGTGAAAAGACGGAGACGAAAACCACTTCCTGTTGGAGTGGCCCAGTGGGCTGGGCGGTCAGCAGCCGCCAGCGGGCAGGACACAGGGGCAGCTGCTCTGGCCCGCACCTGATGCCTGGAGGAGGAGGGTGGCTGGGACACTGCATCCCAGCAGGAGGGCGTCCTTCTCATTTCCTGTGCTCCACGTCCTGTTTCCTGAGCACCCCCCACCCCCCACCCGGGGCCCCCTGCAAGACATCCTCGCAGCTGTGCTCAGTGCGAGCTCCCTGCCACCCCCTCCCCTGTCCCCTCCCTGGAGCCTTTGGGAGGGAGAATCTTGCTGCCTGGCAGGGAGAGGCCCACTGGGGCGCTCCCTGCAGTCCGCTCCCGGGAGGCTCCGGCCCGAGAAGGGGTTCCTGGGGTCCTGCTGTCCCTTACCAGCAGCCACCGTCTTCCTGAAGAGGATGGGGTTGACCAGCAGCACCAGTAGCAGGGGAAAGTACGTGCTCACGTAGTGCGGGATGGCCTGCTCCAGGCCCCGCTCGCACCTGCACACACAAGAAGGGGCATACTCACCTGGGCACACCTGCAGGGGCACACTCATCTGGGCACACCTGGGGTCTGTACACTCCCCCGTGGGCACAGCTGAGGGGCATGCTCTCCCTGGGCACAGTTCCCTGGGGGCACCTGCCCACCCTCATGGGAAGGCCAGGTCAGGTCAGAGTACTCCCCAGTCCGGGGTGGGCCGTTCTGGGGTGTGTAGTCACAGCCTGCACAGGGCCCCGTGAGCACACCAAGGGGAGCCCGGCCCGGCGGGGGTTGGGGGTCACGGCTTACCTGGACACAGACGGGGAGTAGAGCATGAGCCCGCCCTCCACGCACAGTAGCACGGCCAGGCCCCAGGCCATGATGTGGTAGACGAGGATGGTGCTGGGGGGGAGCAGGAGGGGCTGAGGGCACGAAGGGCAGTGCCGGGAGCGGGGCAGTGAGCTAAGCGCCTGCCGCCCCGCTTCTGTCCCCTGTTCCCTCTGCACTGGGGCGACAGGGGGCGGAGCTCGGAGGGTTCCCCTGCTTGTCATTGGCTCCTGGTGGCGCCTGGGGATCCTCTACTACGTCAGGGATAGAACTAGGGTACAAGGCACGCACACACACAGGAATCTGCAGAAGTGTCTCGACCTTGCTCTGGCTGCAAGGAGTTCTCATTTGCTACACCCCTGCCCATAATTCCTACAGAGTTCCCAAATTCGACACGGCACCCGCAAAACCTCTGCTGCCACATTTCCCCAAGTTTTCAGATGTTTGTAGCTTGTTTGTTTAAGTTTGGGGGCCACATACAGCCGGTTGCTACAGAGATTGGCCACAAGTAAGGCCCCCACTTTCTTTTCTTTTTTCTTTCTTTTTTTGCTTTTTGGGTCACACCCGGCGATACACAGGGGTTACTCCTGGCTCATGCACACAGGAATTACTCCTGGCGGTGCTCGGGGAACCATATGGGATGCTGGGAATCGAACCCGGGTCGGCCGCGTGCAAGGCAAATGCCCTACCCGCTGGGCTATCGCTCCAGCACCAAGTCGCCCACTTTCCCCGGTACTATCTCTCTCACCCGCAGTAATATTCCTCCTAGCTTCGATGTTGTACTTATAAATGGTTGCTACCAAATCCTTTGTAAAACAAAGCATTCAAGTATGGTTTCCTCTTCGAGACAGATTTCTGCTATCTTGCAACACTTTCATGGGCTACTTTTGTAACTTTTCTCTGCTGATAGAATAATAGCTTGATCCAACATAAGAAACACTTGCAAAAAAGCTTTCACGGCTGCCAAAAACAAATTCCATCAGGGCGGAGGGTGGTTCAGGGGTTACGGGGATCCCACTCCAGCCCCTGCACCGGGATGGTCTCTCCTGCCCACAGAGCCAGGAATGGCCTCAGCTCATCATCTGAGGGTGGCTTCAAAGAAAGCAAAACAATATTTCAAAGACAAAATATTTTTTTAAGTGGATGAGTGTATACATGAATGGGAGGGTGGATGGATGGATGGTGAGTGAAATATGAACCGCCAACAGCTCCTGGGGCTGGAGAGATAGCACCATGGGGAGGACGTTTGCCTGGCACATGACCGACCCAGGCTCCATCCCTGGCACCCCTTGGGGGACTCCCATGGGGTCCCTCAAGCACCACCAGGAGTAATTCATGAGTGCAGAGCCAGGAGTAACCCCTGAGCATTGCCAGGTATAGCCAAATAGCAAGAAAGCAAGAAGGCAAGAAGGCAAGAAAGCAAGAAAGAAAGCAAGAAAGAAAGAAAGAAAGAAAGAAAGAAAGAAAGAAAGAAAGAAAGAAGGAAGGAAAGAAAGAAGGAAGGAAGGAAGGAAGGAAAGAAAGGAGGGAGGGAGGGAGGGAGAGAGGGAGGGAGGAAGGAAGGAAGGAAGGAAGGAAAGAAAGAAAGAAGAGAGGGAGAGGGAAGAGAGAGGGAGAGAGAGAAGAAAGAGGGTGAGAGAGGGAGAGAAGAGAGAGAGGGAAAGGGAGACGGAGAGAGAGGGGAGAGAGGCCAGCCTATTTACTGACATTTTCTGGCATTAAAAACTGTTATTTTTGGGGGCTGGAGCAATAGCACAGTGGGTAGGGCGTTTGCCTTGCACGCGGCCAACCGGGGTTCGATTCCCAGCATCTCATATGGTCCCCTGAGCACTGCCAGGGGTAATTCCTGAGCGCAGAGCCAGGAGTAACCCCTGAACATTGCCGGGTGTGACCCAAAAAGAAAAAAAAACTGTTATTTTTTAAATTATGATTGTTTTTTGTTTCAAAGAAAAGAGTACATACTGAATTCAATCTGGGCTTTGAAAAATTGTTCTTAAATGAGATTTCAAGGTCCCTTGCCATATTTTAATATTTTGGTTGTTCTGTTTTAGGGCCGCATTGGGCAGTGCTTGGGGTTCACTCGTGGCTCTGTGCTCAGGGAGCACTTCTGGTGGGTCTCAGAGGGCCATGCGGGGTTCGGGGAGCCAACCCGAGCGAGCTGTGTGCAAGGCAGATGCCCTACGTGCTGACGTAGTCTCGGGCCCTCCTTTGATGGCTGGGGGCGGGAGGCAGCTGACATAGCAGGACACTTCCAGAAGCCCGACACTTCCTGGCCCCCCATTTATTTATTTTTTATTATGTATTTATTTATTTGCTTTTTTGGGTCGCACCCGGTGATGCATGGGGGTTACTCCTGGTTCATGCACTCAGGAATTACTCCTGGTGGTGCTCGGGTGACCATATGGGATGCTGGGGATCAAACCCGGGTTGACCGCGTACAAGGCAAACGCCCTACCCGCTGTGCTATCACTCCAGCCCCCGGGCCCCCCTTTTAGATAGGCAGGGGGGTCTGGCCTTCAGAGGAAACAGCTGGTGCCAAGGAGCTGTGGCGAGTGGATGCCTGCTTCCCGCTGCCTGCCTGGCCCTCCACCCGCCCGGCCGAGGAGTACCTGAACCCCGTGGACCTGCGGACCACCAGGTAGGCGTCGAGCGCGTAGCAGAAGAGCCAGTAGAAGGCGGCGCTGTACAGTAGCTGCACCCACACCTGAGGCCGAGAAGTCGCATCAGGGCACACCGCACCCCCGCAGCCACCCGCGCCAGCCTTGGCAGCCAGGGGACGTGGGGCTGGGGAAAGCTGGTGGCCCTTGTGCTCCGTACTCCACTGAGTGTGTGTGTTGGGGAAGGGGGGGATGGTCCCCTGCGTGACAGCCCGGCCTAGCAGGGACAGGCTCACAGATGGGGGTGCCCAGAACACGGGGTGGTGCTACAGGCAAGGGGCAAGCTGGCGAGTCCTTGCATGTGGCTTGCGGGCACGGGGCGTGTCCTGGGCACGGACCTGCAGCGTGATGGCTCTCAATGCGTGTTTCATCTGCACACGGCCAGCAGATCCGGCTCTTCCCTTTGGTCCCTCTGTGTCATGTTCTGCCCCACCCCCACCCCGATTCAGCTGAGTGTGGTGGCAGGGAAGGTGAAGGGGCAGATGGGGGAGGAAGGCGCCCCCCAATCCAGCTGGCTCTGAGAGTGGCAGTGGGGAAGGTGGGGTGCAGCAGAACTTGGCTTTCTGCCGTCAGGAGTGAGGGGCCTGGGGCCCGGGCTGAGAAGCTGGGTGCTGGGTCAGGGGGACTTGGAGGCACGCAGGAGGGAGGCAGGGGATGCGGGTACTCACCGCGCTCCCCACACAGAAGGCGGCAGCCCAGGGCTCCGTGCTGTTTCCGTCAGACACCTGTGCCACAAAGTCCGGGAAGCCCAGCCACACTGCAGAGCGGACGGCGATTCCTGTGGAGAGGACGCGGGGGCTGTGTCTGCTCATGCACTCAGAGGCTGACCAGGCTCCCCACAAGACGGGGCGGCGACACGTGCAATGGCGGACAGATGGAGAGACGGATGGGTGAGCAGGTGCATGGGGATAGAGACATGGATACATGGATGGGCGTGGGTGGGTGCAGGAGTGGATGGAGGAATGAATGATGGAGAAGTGGATGGGTGGATAAGTGAGTGGTTGCAGTGGATAGATGGATTAATGGAGGGAGGGATAGGTGAGTGTATCGATGGATGGGCAAGTGGATGGTTGAAGTAGATGGATGGATTCATGGATGGATGGATAATTGGATGGATGGAGAAGTAGATGGAGGGATAAGTGGGTGGATAGGTAGGTCGAGGAGTAGATGGATACATGGATGGATGGATGGATGGATAACTGGGTGGAGGACTTAAGTGGATGTGTAGAAGTAGATGGCCAATGGATGAATAAGCGGATGGATGGATAGATAGGTGAATGGATGGATATAGACGGATGGATGAATGGATACATAGATTGGAAGGTGAATGGATGAGTGGTGGATGCACACATGTACAAATGGATTGATGAACAATGCATGGGTAGTAGGTGGGTAGACACATGAATGGATGGGTGGACAAATGGAGACATGGATAAGTGGGTGGACAGATGGACGGACAGGTGAGTGGATGGGTCATGGATGGATGGATGGATGGATGGATGGGTAGTGGGGGGATGAATACATGGGAAGGTGGATAGATGGGCACGTGCGTTGGTGCAGACATGGGTTGATGGATGGTGAGTGGATGTATGACAGACCGGTGGATGAATGAGTAGACAGATAGGGACGGGGAAGGGAGAAAGGGAAGTAGGAGGAAAGGATGCCATGTGTGGAAGCAGGGAGGCAGAGAAATGAGAGAGAGGGGTGGGGCAAGAGGGAGGGGGAGGAGGCCGGAACAGCAGGGGAGACTGAGATGGCGTGACTGACTAGGGCAATAACTATGACTTGGGCAAAATCACTCCAGGCACTTGGATTTTACCCAAAAAAAACTATTTGCTAGAATTGATGTCCTAGTTTTTTTGGCATTAAGATGTGATTCTGGGAGGCAGGAGTGAGGGGCCTTCTGAGAGGCTGACTTGGCTTCAACCTCCGGCACCCCAATAGTCCCATGAGTCCTTTGAGGAGTGACCCCTGAGTGCTGAAAAAAAGATTCCACAGCAAATGAGGATGGAGGAGTCAGAGGGAGATCTCGAAGTCACAGACAGTCCTTGCATGTCAGGGGAGGAAGTGGATGACACAAGTGCCACCAGAGATATGTGGGAAAGGAAACAGGAAGAGGAAATTGCCCTTTAAGCCAGCCTCTCTGTGGGAAAGGTTCCCACAATCTTATGTCACTTCCGGAGGAATCAGTGGGAAAATTATTGAAAATATTCTCTGGGGCACGGGACTGTGGCTCAGCATTAGAGCACTTGCCTTCCATATGTGAGGCCCTGGATCCTAGCCACCACCATGCATCTCACACACACACACACACACACACGCACACACACACACACGCACGCACGCACGCACTCACCAAGAGGGCACCTCAACCCTTCTGCGCCTGCAGACTGGCACCACTTCCGGTGGCTGAAGGCCACGGCATGAGCCAGCACTGTGCAGGTGTCCTGTGGCATTCATGTGAGCCAGGAAGTGCTCAGATTTCCGTGCAGGAAAACGGCCCTCATGCTGCAGATGTGGTGCCAGAGATGGAGCGCGTGTCGTTCATGTGCCAGGCCCTGGGTTCCCTCCCTAGCACATCCGGGTGCGGGCCTGGCACAGCCCCTGGGCACCACCCCACAGGGTTAGAGCGCCAACAGGAGTGGCGGCGGCAGCCAGTAAGAGACAAACAGACCAGAAATGTCAAATCCTCCCTGCGGGCCGCAGCTAAGAGGGAGGTTTTGCCTGGTGGGTTGTGGCTTATTTACTTGGAGTATAAAACCCAAAGTTGGGAATGGGGTGGGGTTGGGACACGGACACACACACACACACACACACACACACACACACATGCACGCACGCGCACACACACGCACGCACGCACACATGCTGTTCGGCACTCATGAAATATTTCTTCCTTTGTTTCTGGCTCACACCCAGCGGAACTCCGGGCTTCCTCCTGCGGCCTCAGGCAGCATACAGGATGCTGGGGATCAAGTCCACATTGGCCACGTGCACGGCAAGCACCTTACCCACTGTCGTATCGCTTTGGTCCCTCTTTTCTCTGTTTTTGTCTTTGGGTCCACATCCAGCGGTGCTCAGGGCTCACTCCGCGTGGAGTTTGGGGTACCATATGTGGTGCCAGGGATCAAAACCAGACCAAGAACATGCACCAACAGCGCCCTACCCACTCTGCTATTGCTGTGGCCTCCCATGAAATTTTCTGGGTGCTGATAAATTGCATTCTAAATTTCCTTTAGGGGTAGAGAGAGTTCCCAAGGCGGAGGACATACTTTGCCTGGCTTTGCTCCCGGGCACTAACATGATGAAGAGAAAAACCAGCCAGCCAAACATCAGAGAAACGCCAAAGTGACAAGTAAAATGTCTCTAGAAAACTTGCCATAACAAACACAACTGTTTGTTTTTTGAAGGAGAAGACAAACATCTGGGTGGGGAGACAGTATAGCAGAGAGTGGGGTCAAGTCCCTGTAGCTATGGCCCCATCCAGCCCCCCCACCCCCATTCTGGGCAGAGAGCATCTCTCTGGATGTGGACAGGGTCGTGCCCATTATGGTTGGGGGGAGGGGCGGTCCGGGTATCCCCAGCACAGCAGACCTGAGGGTATACTGGGGTCCCTATACAGAGAAGTGCTGGTGATCCTGTGGCTGGTGGTCGTGTGCCCCCTCCCCCCCCACACACACTTTCTGAGCATCACTTTACGAGCAGCCCTTCAAAACAGATCAAATGTCTGACCTGGAAGACGGGCAAGGGCTGGAGCGCTCAGGCTTTGCCTGCAGGGTCCGGGAGCCCAGTGACCGCCCCACGCGTGCACCTATGTCCCTCGGAGTGCTGTGCCCAGAGAGCCCGCCGCACAAGCGCCTTTCCCAGGGGGGTCGGGCAGTTAGCCCGGGCCGTGCGGGGACAGGGGTCTGCCCCGGGGCCAGGCCGGGCCACGCGCGCGCCCCCTTACCCAGGCAGCCGAGCAGGTCGCAGGCGGAGGCGGCGCGCAGGATGCGGGGGGCGGCCGGGGGCGCGCGCCGAGGGGCGCTCGGGGGGGCCGCCGCTGCAGGAGACCGAGCGCCAGGCGGAGCGCGCCGCTGCCCAGGCACAGCGCGTGGAAGGCCCGCGGCTGCCAGCTCAGCACCAGCTGCGTGGCGGCGTCCCGCGTGGGGCAGCAGGCCGTGCCCAGGCGCGGGGAAGCCATGGGCCACGCTGGGGGATAGGCGCGGCTCTGCGGGGCGGCCTGGCCGGGTCAGGCGGGGCGTCATGTGCCCGCCGCCCCCCTACCAGGCCCCGCACGGGGCGGGGCCGCGCGCCCCCGAAAGGGCACGAGGGCCTCACGCGGCCCGGGGGAGGGTGCCGGGCTGCCTCTCTCCTCAGCGGCTCCCAGGAGCCGCCCTGGGGGTCAGTCCTGCCTATCCGCACCCCTAAAACCGGAGTGGGCAGGAAACGGGTGCTGGGATGTCCGCGCGGACACTGTGGGAACATCATCTTCCCTGCTGGCGCTGCTGACAGGCCCCAGTGCACTCTAACGTGTGCCCCCAGCCACGCGCGGGGTCAAACACGGCTCCCGCGTGGGAAACACGGCCCCACCCGACGCAGTCGAAGCGAGTCCGGAACAGCAAAAGGGCTCAGCCGCCAGTAGAAGGTCGCTGCGTTTTCCTTTCCTTGTCGCTGTCGGTGTTTAGGACTGAACCCCGGGTTTCATGCATGCTAGGCAAGTGTGACTCTCAGCCCCAGCCAAGTAAGCAATTTCTGTACGAAACTTCACTTTCTGTACAAAAGTCGAAGGCTGAAAGGAGGTGAAGGGGGATGCATGAACCCCTTTCCCTGATGGGATTACAAACCTCAGTGCCTAAAGTGGGGGGAGGGAGAGAGAGAAAGAGAAAAGACAGACACAGAGATAGACACAGAGACAGAAACAGAGACACAGAGGCACACACACACACACACAGACAAAGACCTCGGGGTTGGGGTGGAGGTGTCAGGGAAACTGGAGTCATTGGTGGTGGGAAATTGTACATGGCCGAAGGAACAGGTGTTGGGACACTATCACTGAAACCTGATCATGAGCAACTTTGTAACTGTGTATCTCACAGTGGTTTAATTAAAAAGAAAAAAAAGAAAGAAAGAAAAGAAAAAAGAAAAAAAATGAGTTACTATTTCGGCCAGAACTATGGTAAAGGTAAAGGTAAAGGCCCTCCCGTTGTTCGTCGATTTGCTCGAGCAGGCCCAGTAACGTCTCCATTGGAGACTTTGTTGTTACTGTGTCTGGCATATCGAATACTCTCGGTAGCTTGCCGGGCTCTCCGAGAGGGGCGGAGGAATCGAACTCGGGTCGGCCATGTTGGCTGCTTGTAAGGCGAACGCCCTACTGCTGTGCTATCGCTCGGTGGGGGAGCCAAATCAGAATCCATCCCCTCCCCTACCTGAGTGGTCCCTGAGTGGTTTGCTGGAGGAAACCCTGAGCAGGCTGGGTCTTTTCTTTTCTTTTCCTTCTTCTTTTTCTTCGCAGCACGGGGTTGCTGGGAATCCTTCTCCAGGTGCTGGGGGTACCGGGTCTTGCCAACAGTTTACCGCTGCTCCAACATGACCCGCCCCCATTGCTTCCCCTATATTCCATAAGTGAAAATTCCACTTTTTTCCACACGCATGTTTCTTACATGGATCAATGGAGAACAAAGACATAGACTGAAGGTGGGGGCAAAAATGGAAAGTTCCACAGTGAAAGTAAGAGCGCCCTTCCCCAGGGATGGATTTACTAAGCAAAGGTGGTTTTTCTGTCTCTTTGTTCTTAGGAGGTCACAGCTGGCAGTCCTCAGGGCTCCTCCTGGCTCTGCACTCTGACTCCTGACAGTGCTTGGGGGACCCTATGGGGTGCCGGGGATGGAACCCCAGTTGGCCACGTGCAAGGCAGGCACCCTCCCTGCAGTGCTGTCGCTGTGGCCTCCGAAAGCTTTCACTGTCACCTCGTGCTGGGGTGGTAGGGACTAGCTGGGTGCCTTGTAGCAGCTGACGCGCAGCCTGCCCTGCCGACTTCATTACCATTGCCAGGTGCGTCTTCTGCAAGCCAACCAGAGAACACATGTTTCTCATCTCTTTCTTGTCCTGCGGTTGCAAGGTCACATGTGCAGAGTCCGGGGAACCAGCGCGGTGGCACATGGCAATGCTGGGCACGAGGGGCTGTGACCTCCCTGAGCTTCCCTCCAGGGCAGGGTCTGGGTCGGGGGGAGCCAGGCTGCACCCTGGGCACTGCCAGGCGTCGCCCTGAGCAGAGCTGCGTGTGACTCTAGAAGCAACGAGCAAGCGCAAGCCCGTGAAGCAGGGGTCCTGGGGCCCGTCCCCCAATACCGCACAGTCCCGAACATCACCGCTGCTGGCCCCAAAGCAACCACCCGAGCCAAAAAGCCCAGCCCGCCAACTCCCAAGTGAGCGAGCAGCCCTGGGCTCTGAGGCTGCCATCAGCAGGAAGCAGGTGGCTTCTGTGCACACCGCTGGCTCCCCGTCACATTGTGCTGCAGCCACCCACAGGCCAGGACACCCCATGGTGATTCAACGTGCCTGCAAGGGCCAGGGAGATGGAACAGCATGTCAGGGTACTTGCCTGCACACGGCCCGTCATGAGTGCTCCCCGAGTCAGCCCTGATCCCCGCGGGCATGGCCGCGAAAAACCCACCCCACGACCAACCAAGACATCCCGCACTCCCCCCAGCCCCCACCTTTGTCCCAATAAAGTTTTATTCACAAAGGGGCCAGAGACTGGGGGTGGTGTGGGGCGATTGCTTTGTTGTGGCTAAGTACGGTTTGATTCTTAGCCGTGCCGTAGGTCCCAGAAACGGCCTCTGGGACTGAGCCTTGAGCACAGAGCTAGGAGCAAGTGCTGAGCAAGGCTCTGTGACTAGGGAGAGTGGCCGTGACCCCTATGTCCAAATAACAAACATACAAAAATCAAAGAGATGCAGGAGTGGCACGGAGAGACAGGGCAGGAGGGAGCCGCCGGCCTGCTATGCAGCTGACCCGGGTTCGAATTCTGGCACCACATATGGCCCCTGAACACAGGGAACTCCTGAGCATTTTTGGGTCTAGGCCCAAAACAACAGATGCAGGCAGGGGGGCGGAGGTGATAGGCCAGAGGGCTGGAGCACAAATCCCGCACGCCTGAGGCCTTGGGTTCAGTGCAACACACCGCATCATCTGCTTCCCCTGAGCACCTGAAGAGGAGAGAGAGAGAGAGAGGGAGAGAGAGAGAGATGGGTCCAGAGCGACAGTAGACAGTGAGACAATGCGCGGCTGACCCCCGTTCAAGCCCAGGTACCCCTCAGGGTCTTCTCAGTCCCGCCAGGAGTAATCCCTGAGCATAGAGCCAGGAGGAAGCCCTGAACACAGCCAGATGTGGCTCAAACCAACCCTGGCCCTATCCCAAAAGAGAGAAAAGAGAGAGAGAGAGAGACAGAGACAGAGACAGAGACCAGAAAGGGGGAGAGAGCAAGAGGGAGAGAGCGTGGCCTCACCCAAACCCATCCCATTATTTCATACAAAAAAGATTAATAATGAGATTGCTTTTCAGATGGCAGGAGTACAGGTGAGGCTGATGTTGGCTGCTTGCGTGTGTGCGTGCGTGGTTGTGTGAGTGTGGCTGTGCACGTGGTTGTAAGCACGTGAGGCGCCCTTCAGGGACTCTGAAGGCCCCCGAGGGGGGACTGCAGGGGACAAAGCGCCAGTGCAGGCAGGATGCCGGCCGGAAAGGGAAGGCCGGGAAGGAAGATGATAAGGAGACAGGCAAGCTGAGTGCGCTGAGCTAGGGGGATGCCCAGCCGAGTCCTCTGGAAGGGGCCCGGGGACACTCGGCAGGGACTGGCCCAGGCCTTCCCTGAGGCCTGTGTGAGGATGGGCCGCAAAGTACCCCAGGGCTCTCTGCAACCCCCTCCAGCTCCCCCTTTCCTGCTCCCCCGCCCCTTCCCCCTCCCTATCTGGAGCCTAGGCCTAGGACCACAGCCCCCACCTCTCCCTCCCTCCCTCTCCCTTCTCTCTCTCCCTCTCCTTCCCTCTCCCTCCCTCTCTCTCTCCTTCCCTCTCTCCCCTCCCTCTTTCTCCCTCCCTCTCTCTCCCCCTCTCTCTTTCTCTCCCTCCCTCCCTCCCTCTCTCTCTCTCTCCCTCTCTCCCTCCCTCCCTCTCCATCCCTCTCTCTCCCCCTCCCTCTCTTTCCTTCCCTCTCTCTCCCTCCCCCCCTCTCTCCCTCTCTCCTTCCCCCTCTCTCTTTCCCTCTCTCCCTCTCTCTCCCTCCCTCTCTCTCCTTCCCTCTCCCTCCTCTCCCTCCCTCTCTCTCTCCCTCTCTCTCCCTCACTCTCTCCCTCCCTCCCTCTCTCTCCCTCCCTGTCTCCCTCTCCCTCCTTCCTCTCCCTCCCTCCCTCTCTCTCCCTCCCTCTCTCTCTCCCTCTCCCTCCTTCCCTCTCTCCCTCCCTCCCTCTCTCTCCCTCCCTCTCTGTCTCCCTCTCTCTCTCCCTCTCTCCCTCTCTCCCTCCCTCTCTCTCCTTCCCTCTCCCTCCTCTCCCTCCCTCTCTCTCCCTCTCCCTCACTCTCTCCCTCCATCCCTCTCTCCCTCTCCATCCCTCTCTCTCTCCCTCCCTCTCTCTTTCCTTCCCTCTCTCTCCCTTCCTCCCTCTTTCTCTCCCTCCCTCTTTCTCTTCCTTCCTCTCTCTCCCTCCCCCCTCTCTCTTTGCAGCCTGCCCTGCCCCCCTTCCTCCCTCTCCCCTTCCTTCTCTTTGCTGTGCTATGCTGGGGCCCAGCTTGGGAGACAGTCCTGGGGAGTGTCCCCGGGCACTGGGCAGGGGTGCTGTGAGCCAACTTGCTGTCTTCTGCAGCCAGTAAGGCACATTCCCCCTCCCCCACCCCACAGCCCAGTAATCATTTTTAGTTGGGTTTTGGGGTGACGCCCCGCGGTACTCAGGAGCCAACTCCAGGTGGCGTGCTGTGAACCTTAAGGTTAGCAGGGATTGAACCTGGGTCTTCACAAGCAGAGCGTGTGCCTCAGTGCTCCGGGCTCCCCCCTCCCCTCCCCGTCCTGCTGTCAAGTAAATAAATGATGGCTAAGACAGCGGTGCCGGTGCCGGTGCCGGTGCCGATGAGTCACAGTTACACATCAAAACACAAGCAAGAGCTTTTTCTGGACCCGGGGGGCGCTCACCATCTCTCCAGCTCCTGCAGTAACTTCTGGTTTGGATTTGGCAG